TGCTGCCAGGGCAGGATGATCTGTTTTCTGAGACTCTCAGACTGAGAGAAGGGAGATATTACTTTTAATTCTTGCTGTGATGGAGAATTATACAGTCTGTTAACGTTTCCATTCTCTCATTAGGATCTGAACAGCAACGCTCTGGACATTTTCCAGTTTCTGGAGGTTTTTGCAATGAAAAGTCCTTTGCAGGAAAAAAAGAAGAAGCATGAATCAGCCTTACTTCATCACAGGGGTAAATATGTTTGCTAAAAAAAGGAAAAATGTTTATCTGGTTTTGCTATGTTATAATTATGTTATTTAAATTAATTATTTCTATTCTGGTCTTTAAAAGAACTTACACATAACCTTAAATGTTAAATGATTGATGTTTTGATCAGTTACTCGGTACTTGATTAGTCTGTTTTACCAAGTACATTTTTACTCCTACTTGAGTTATTTCTTGGATGAATACTTTTTAAAATATGTAAAAATATGTTGAAGAAGTGCTACTCTCAGTATAATTTTTGGCTATGTTCCTCTGAAGAACCTCATTTTTTTCTCTTGCATGCACCTGGAACACTTTTACACATCTATGTGTATTTATATATATACAAATACTTTTTTAGTATTTTTTTCTGTGTACTCCAGTGACCAAGCAATGACAAAAGAGTAAAAATAAATCTAAATATGGACCAGTCGTTTGACTTCTCTGCTCTATGTCCAGGGTGAGGTGGAACTGCAAGCAGGTGAGTGCATTCCAGGACAAAGGTGAGCTTCCCCACTGTTTCCTGGGAGATCCAGAACTTCTGAACGACGAAGGGACAACAGGACCAACATGAGGCAAACACCCGGAAGGAACGCTGAGAGCAAATTGACGACTCTTTCTGAGCTGACTCCAGCTGCAGCTGTATGTAATCACTCCTGTTCTTCGTTCCTGCAGAAGAATGGAAGCCAGCAACACACACACACGCACACACCCACACACACCCACACGCACACACACACACACACCCACACGCACACACACACACACACACGCACACACACACCCACACGCACACACACCCACACACACACACACACACACACACACACACACACAGCCCTGCAGATGTGATTGTAAATCCAGCTGTTCTGTGAAAGCCTCAGAAGAACCCTAGAACATCTTCTTAGGGATCGAGTTGTTGTGAAGTTAATGCAGCTTTACAGACCCGTTGCATGTTATTGTTTATAGCCGTAGATTTTGCACATGCGCACCACGCTGGAGGGCAACAACCCTATTCTTTTCCTTTAAGCGGCGTTGGGCGGCCTTGTTTACTAAATGAAACCTGAAGATGTAGCTGTTATTAATTTAGTGCAAAGGAAAAATAACACAGAAAAACTGCTGAAACTGCTCAAAACCACTCGTATTCTTCTTTTTTCACGCTCTCTGCATCCGCTGCACTACACTGCCATTGCAACTGGCAACAACGCCACTTTATGTATCAGGATTCAACACCAAAAACATGTTTATTTTGCAATTATCAAGCAGTGATTGTATGAACACAGAGGTGGTTGATTAGCTAATATACGCCTGTGATACTGATGATTTGTTACTGTTGGTTTGTAGAGCGCCTTATTTTATTTTTTAACTGAATCAAAACACATAATTCTGCAGCACATCTACATGTTGAGGTTGTCAGAGTCAAGCTAGCATAACTGAGCTAGTTCCCTCTCCTTTGCTATGTTTTTTTAATTAATATCTTTTCCTGACTTTGTTATCCAGTTGTCGCAGTGTTGACAATTAGTAGCAAAGCACTGTGTTCCTTTTTTTACATACCATGTGCACTAAACGTTTAGCGCGTTATGTTGACAACTTGACAGTTAAAACCAATGCTAGTCATTACAGACACTCTCCATCCAAACTGACCAAGCTTGAGTTAGTTTGTAAAGCAATATGTACAGAAATTTTAGCCTGAAGCTGATAGAAATATGCCACAAAAAAAGATTTTTAGTTGTAATCAAACATGAGTATCTACTTGTGGAGGCTGAATACTTTAATTTTTAGGTTTATAAGTTAATATAAACAGCAAAAACAAAACAAAAACAGAAAACAATGTTTCCCGCTCCTTCAACTTCACATAAAATCCCAATAAAATGTTGAACATTCTAGTGGTATCATAGCACAAACTTAAAAATTACTACTAATGATAATTTCGCAAAGGTTGTATATGTTCGATGGATAACTAGAAACTTCAAATGCTTGAGGAGGTGGTATAAGATGTTAATGCAGAATAGTTAATGTAATATATAATGCATCAGCAGAAAGTCTAATAGTTTAAAGCTGGAGAGAATAAATGGCTTCCTCAAGCTGAGAATGTGCTGTTTGCTTCAATTGACACGGTTTTGGTTACATTGGATGAAGAAAATGAGGAGGAGGATCAGACCTTGGCCTTCAGTGTCCAGGTTACTGTGCCCTCCACTAATTTAGTCACACACACACACACACACACGCACGCACGCACGCACACACACAGGGAGAACCGTGCTGTAATCTGGGAGGCAGGAAACAAAGGGCCTCGTTAATGCAGAGACTCGCATGGGCCTTTGATGTGGAGCCAAGCCATTCACTCCTCGTTCCTTGCACACACACGCATACACACACACACACACACACACACACATATGCATACACACACAGAATGTCAGACACATGCACAAGTGCCTTTTACCACAGAACGAAGCAAAATGCTAAAAAGAGAATAATCTGCCTGTGTCGAGGCAACGTGGCTGCTATTTAAAGCTTCTTGTATAAGATCTAAACCAACACGCTTATAAGCCACAAAGCGACCCGACTCTTTCCTATTACACATTCTTGCCCCGGTATTGTGATACCAGTTCCCATCATTGCCCCTTTACTTTACTAGTCACATTACTAACATGTCATCAGCGTCGGAAAGTCAGAGCTGTAAATTATTAGTGAATAGTTGAATTAGTCATTACATCTCACTGAGACTATTTTCCAACTTACAAAAGTGTGGATGAATGATGCACAAACACTCTGGTTTAATAAAAAAGCTGCATTTTTGTTTGTTATGCAGATGGAGTTCAAGTCCTGCCAGCAGATGTTGCAGAGCTGCAGACGTCGTCGACGACATCGGGTCGTCCTGACGCAGGATGAGCTGCAGCCAGCGTTGGATAGTAACTAGTTACATTTGCTTGAGTAACTTTTTTTTTTTTTTATTGTACTTTTAGGAATGTTTTTATTACGCGTTACTCTTTACTTTAACTTGAGTAATTTTATCATAAAGTATCTCTTCTCTTTCTTCAGTCAAATTTCTGGATTTTCTACCCACTGAATGAAAATCAAACATGTTTTAACCAGAAACTCACCAGACTCAGACACACAGCTGCAGCGTCTGTTACAGTTTCTGAAGTTTTTTATTGAAAGAAACTGATTTAGAAACATTTTATTTTGCCTGATTTTGTTAATTTTTTTCCTTATATGATTTATTGTCAGTTTGGTTCTTACAATACATCATCGTCTGATGATGTAATTTTTAAATATTAAATGACTGATAATGTGATCAGTTAGTACTGAAATAGACGTTATATCACATACATCTTTACTCTTCAGTAAATTATTGAACGGTGTTACAACTGGCTCAAGGTCATAACAAAAACGGGAAACCATGCAGAGGTCAAAGTGCAGAAAAGGGAACATTTATTAACAAAAACTACAATGGATTGTGAAAGTCAGTATCAGTGGCATAATGCGAATACTTGGATTTGCATTACTACATTTTACTTTTACTTGAGTAAAAATATGTTTAAATAGTGCTACTCTTACTTGAGTACAATTTCTGATTTCTCTGCCACCTCTGGCTGCAACAATGCAAAAACACCAAAATCTTACCACATTTTGGTTTAGTTTCTCGAGAAAATATCATTGTTAAAAAGACTAAATCATCTTACAAATAACTTTTCTGTAATATTAATGTTATTTTAATATTAATGAAAAAGTATTAGCTCCACTGGCAGATTATTTAATTTATAGCAACATGTTTTTCCCAAGTTATAAGTGAAATAATCTGCCAGTGTAACTAGAACTTTTTCATCAATATTAAGGAATTATTCATTTAAAACAAGCTCCTATATCCTGCTGAAAAGTTAAATGCAAGTTATTTTTGTCCTATTTCATGTGTGCGAAGATGTTTGCACTAGAAGTAAAACCCAAAATACTTGGCAAGGTTTGATGTGTTTCTCGTGTCCAATCAAATGATTTTCCATTTATTTTAATGTATTTGTCCTTGAAAAATATGGTCCAAGATCTTCTGATGACTACCATAAGAGATTCTGCTGTTATTTATGCTTTTTAAGAGGTCAGTCCCATTTCTCATATATTTTGAAGCAGAAAGCTTCAGCTGTTTGGTTAATGTGGCCTTGCTGTTGTTTTCCTCTGCAGAACCAACCTGATATTAGTGGTCTGCGTGTTCGCCGCAGCCAGAGAGGCCTGCCTCTGTCCGATCATGGTTCTGCCCAAAGCCTCTCATCAAAGGAAACAGGACATTCACAGTAGCCTCAATGAGTCCCTTGCTGGTCCTGTTCAGCTCCTCTGTTGGGTTTCACTGATTCCCACTTTACTAGTTTTGTGTTCCTAACTGGTATCAAACTTTTGGGGTCTGTCTCTGCGTTAATAAAGCAAGAACATAATTTTTGTTTTCTTTTCAGTTTCATGGTTATAAGAAGTAAATCCCAACACAATTTTAAGTAAATATTTTAGACGGAGTATAGCAACATCAGGCGAGAATCATTCTATAATACCAGGAATCGTTAAATAATACAAGAACTTGAAGAAATGAATAATAATGACAGTAATAATAATATTATTAGGTATGGGACTTTAATGTGTTAATTTCAAAGTACTAATTTTGATAAATTTTCAACGCTTTTAATTTATTAAAATGCAGTTAATAAAATTTTTTTCCACACAGAAGTTCTGTCTGGAACCTTTGTATTTGCTCGTTTCTGGTACACCGGTAAATCTGACGCACATAAAACACCAAACAACAGCGATGGGCGACAAAGCGGATCCTCTCGGCCCGCCGTGAGTTAATTTCTGCTTCTAAACCGATGTAATGGGACGCTGGGAAAAACTGCTGCTTTCGAGTTGAGCTAAAAGGAGTTAACCTTCCAGCTACTCCAGTCTAAAATAGCATCTCAGTGCTAAACATACAGCAGCAGCGCAGACGCTAATGCTAGCATGAACGAGCAGACTGTGTTCCTGAAATAAAATATGATTTTTGGGGGGCCACCCGTAAAAACTAATACAAAGTTCTCTACCCACCTTTGTGTAATACTAAGATAAATAAAAGTTTTAATGTATCTGTTCTGTTAGGAACGAGGCGAGAGCTACTGCCGTGGCTTGTTTATTGTTGTCATAGCAACTGCTTGCCAAGATGGCGGTCAGAAAGTTCTTGAAAGTGTGACATAACATGTGAACTACGAATTAGTTGTATAATTTATTATTTTTGTATCGAATTATAATACATTTCTAATTAGAACACTTAAGACACTTAATGGATTAAGCCAGTAGAAGATGGATGGATGCTTAATGATTATATATAAAATATGTTTTAGTGCTTTCAGCTTCAACTTTACAGTTTTTTTCTTTTTTTTCTTTTGTAGTGTATTTTAAACGCCTTAGATAAGCAATGCTAGCAGCAAATCCACATTTGCTTTCTGACAGTCTGACTTCACTCCTGTTGTCTTTTCCAACCTTTCATGAAACCAGAAAGTTTAAAGCTGCAACTGAGGCAAATCTCAACATTTATCTCTGGCGGGTCCATCTTTACTCGCTTGCTAAGAGGCTGGAAAATGTGGAAGCCTCTTTTTAACTGGGTTTTCTTACTGGAGCTAGCCATGCAGATGGTCCGGTATGAGTCTGTGATGGGAGCAGGCCAGAGGCTGTGGGTGGTCACGTCCTCAGCGAAGCCGTGGGCAGACCGAAGGACAGTCAGCAAAGCTTTCACATAAACTCACATCCACAGCTGGATAGTAACTTTTTGGGGGAAAAAAATATTTTTTGTAATATTTTTACTATGATGAACATTTTACTTTTACTTGAGTAATGAAGAACAAACTTGTTTTAAGCAAAACTTAATCTGACACACATATGCAGCTTATGTTAAAGTTTCATAAGTTTTATATTGAAAAAGCTTATTTGGAAAAAAGCTTGCTTTGTTATTTTATGATGATTTTTATATGAATTATTTTGATCTTTAAGATACCAAAATTTCCACATTTTGATGTCATTTTTACATATTAAATGATGTTTTAAACAATTACTCAGCATGTCGAATTGCTGCTTTTTACTTTTATCTCAGTAATTTTATTATGCAGCATTTTTACTTTTACTTGAGTAAAATTTCTGGATTTTCTTCCCACTGAATGAAAATCAAACATGTTTTAACCANAAGTTAACCAGACTCACACTCACACCTGCAGTTTCTGTTAAAGTTCCTGAAGTTTTTATTGACAGAAACTGATTTAAAACCATTCTTTTAGTTTTTTTTCTTTTGTTACTTATTTGAGTTATTGTCATTTTGGTCCTGAAACACTAAATTTCCACTTAGATTTATATTTTGGTCCGTCTGATGATGTAATTTTTAACTGATTGATAATTTCATGGACAGATACTTTTTACTTTTACGTGAATAAAAATATGTTGACGTAGTTCCATTCTAACTTGAGTATAACTTTGAATTACTCTGTTCATATTCCTGCAGTGATAAACCTGCATTACGTTTTATTTGAATAATTTATCCATGCGTTTTGTTGTGTTTGAGCTTGTAAAGCAGTAACTGTGTAAATGTGTGCCAGCAGCCAGTTAAAGTAGCTGCATGTGTTCTGTGGGAGGGACCTACATGAAAGCACACACACTCTGTTAAACTCAGCTGCCACACACACTAAAAACCTCAGCTGTGCCATTCACCTACAATAAGGGTCAAAACTAAAACTCAATCCAAATTACAGCCTCCACAGATCCTCCATTGTGTTCGCTCTTCTTCAGTCTTTTTTGTATTTCATAGGGAAAGAAAAGAAAAGATGTCACCAACCCAGGGAGATCAGAGCAGACGCAAACTGAGCCTCCATTTGGGCTGATGGCAGGCCTATTAAATGCGCGCATCCACAGCGGTTTCTTTCTAGTGGTGAGTAGGCGGCTCGCAGTCCTGCAGTTGACGGTTAGCAGCCGATTCTGGGATCGGTTTTTCCGCAGCAGCAGGACTGATGTGGCCGGGAGGAGGATGTGGATTCCTGTGATGGATCATTGTTTAGGTTTGGGGAGTGGGTGTGTGTGTGTGTGTGTGTGTTTCCACACAGCCCCACTCAGTCGGAGAAAGAGGGATTCAAGATCAGACCCACAGATTTACAAACAAACATCTGCAATGAAACAATTTGGTTTGCAATTTGAAGTTTTATTTTAACGATGGAAATGAGAGTCGGTGGACAAAAATGTGAAATAATTTCCAAATCAACTTATTATCCTGTCAAACGAATTTGTAATCCTTGAACTATTTCACGTTTTCTTGCGTTTCAACCACAGGATTTAATTGTAATTTATTGGGATTTTTTGGATGCTGAGGATTCTGGGCTGGAGGAAAATAATAAATGATTTAATACATTTTTATTAGAAATAATAAAAAATGTTACATGGAATTCAAGGTGCAAGGTTTTTGGGGTAAATGTCACATTTTATTTAATTTTATTTTTGTATATTACAGCAGGGGTGTCCAAAGTGTGGCGCGGGGGCCACTGTTGTCCCTTTGAGTTTGTGTGGCCCCCCACTGCAGTTCCACTCTTTGTTAAATCGAATAAGAAGAATTAGAAAACTAGATGTTTTTCTTTTAATACAGCAAACGAGCAGCTTTGATTAAATGTTACTGAGTTAATAACCTGAATTTGGAGATTTTTTGAAACTTAAAACAATAAAATGCTCTGCAGCTGATAATCAGGACATAATGCTTTCAGAGTTGAGTAACTAGTTACATTTAATCGACTTACTTGAGTAATGAATAACAAACTTGTTTTAACAAAACTTCACCAGACACACACCAGCAGTTTATGTTAAAGTTTTATATTGAAACAAAAAAAGATTTAGAAAAAAAGTTTTATGACATTTATATGAATTATTTTCATTTTGACCTTTAAAATACCAACATTTCTGCATAACTTTACATTTTATTTAATCTAACGAACCTTTTTTACTCTTACTCGAGTCATTTCTTGGACGGATACTTTTCACTCTTTCTGTCCCACCTCTGAATGCAGCCAATAAGAAACTGACAAAGATTCAATAAAAACAATAATATAAAGGTATTAAACTTATCTAACAGCATACATAGTGTATGTTATAGGTATAATTTATTTGATCTTTTTTGAAGTATTTTCCTGTCCTCATTTGTGCTGGTTTCCTCCAAAGGTTGGGCGTTTTGTTGGCCAGATTTTTGTTTTCTTGCTTCCCCTGCTGCTGGTCAGGTGGCCGCTCTCCGCTGCAGAGGGAGCTAGACTGACCTCTTGAGGAACATGAAGGGAACTAATGACACCAGGCAGCTGCTTCAGTTTGCTGCAGCTTAAAGCCTAAACCAGAGGAAACACATGAGAATCAAACTCTGAGCTGATTTAGTCATTTAATACGAGAGAAAAATAAAGATTGTTTTGTGTTTTTGCATCAGAAATCAGAATTCACTCTCACCCAGAATGAGAAAGCACATTATTCAGCCGTTCCAGACTTCACATCTGGGTTTGATCACTAAATCTTTTCAATACTTTTCAGTTTTTTTTACTTTTCTCTGCAAATGAATGGAGATGTGGCGTATGAAACAGTAAACCCCTGGATTTATGGGCCATTTTACTACGGCTGGAAGGCTAATGTAGGACATACTTACACATCTTTTTTTTGCTGCGACTTGTGTCGCATGAGATGTTATTGACGCCAGAAGAGTTACGACTCTGGGCCGCTCGGGAGGCCGATTAACCGGGGTTGAGAAAACCTGGCTTATCCACTGAACTGATTTTTAAACAGCCTGTTTTTGACTGGGTGAGTTTTATGATCCAAACTAAAGACTCTTTAAAACCCACTTAAAACAGGCTGCATGGCTGTAGAATCTGCATTAGCATCGGCTTTAAAAGACAGCAGGGGTCTGAGTTTCTTTAAACATTTGGAGAGTTTGGTCATGATGGGGACCTCATGATGGTTAAATACTCATGATGGGGACCATCTTTGGAAAAAGGTTTTAAAAATCGCAACAAATCTGGAAGAATCATTGCAGAGGAGGAAGAGCCTCCAAAAATATACTCAGCTTAGTGTAAAGCCACTTCAACATATTTTTACTCAAGTAAGAGTAAAAAACTATCGTCAGATGAACCAAAATCTGAAGTTGTGCAGAAATGTTGGTATTTTAAAGATCAAAATGAAAATAATTCACATAAATATCACTATAAAATAACAAAATCAGACAAAACATTTTTCTACTTCAGTTTCTTTCAATATAAAACTTATAAAACTTTAACATAAACTGCTGGTTTGTGTCTGGTGCAGTTTAACAAGTTTGTTCTTCATTACTCAAGTAAAAGCAGAAAGTACAGCGAAGTAAAAATACTTCTAAAAGTACTTTTCTCCCCAAAAGTTACTCAAGTAAATGTAACTAGCAGAGGAAGCAGAGTAGCCAACAATGATACTCAAGTAAGAGTATCACTACTTCAACATATCTGTACTCAAGTAAAAGTAAAAAGTATTTGGTAAAAAGTCGACTCAAGTACTGAGTAACTGATCAAATGATCAATAATTTAATATTTAAAAATTACAACATCAGACGGAACAAAATATAAAGTTAAATGGAGATTTTTGTGTTTTAAAGGTCAAAATGACAATAATTCATATAAATAAAAAAAATAGTTTTCAAATCAGTTTCTTTCAATAAAAAACTCAAGTGAAAGTAATTATACTTCATAATAAAATTACTCAGGTAAAAGTAAAATGTTCATCATAGTAAAAATACTCCCAAAAGTACATTTTTAGTGAATGTAATTAACTGTAACTCTGTGAATGAAGGAGCTCCCCTGTAGCAGATATGTTTTATGTTTGCTGCTCATCTGCAGTTTATCAGTTTTACTGCCTGCTGATGTGTATTTGAAAGCTGTCACAGGACGATTTACATGTCAAGTCGAAGCAAAATAAAATAAATCCCACTGATATGGAATCGGCGAGCCGCTCTGCCAGCCCGGCTCTTGTAATCCTTTTGCTGCGACTTGTTTCTTCTGTGTGACACCCGGGGAGAAGAGGGGGGTTAATTACATTAATTCAAAACAAATAAATGTTTGGCAACCCCTTAAAGGCTGTGGGATTTTTTTGGGAGACTGAGCCGACTTTTGGGTCTCCAAACCTCCGGCTTTGATGGTTTCACTGAGGGAACACAGATTGGATATCCAACTGCTGAGCTCAACTCTGCTTTTCCTCCTCCATGCTCGCTCTGTTTCCTTCCTCTTTCTGTTTTCTCTTTCACTTTTTGTTTCGGTCTCACAAATTTTCACATTTTAGAAGTTTGATTTAATTAACCAATTGCAATATTGTCATTAGAGGCATTTTAAATCCTAGTTACTCAAAATATCTATTAATGATTTGTCCATTTTCTCAAAGAAAACAAATTTAATTTTAGCACCATGGACATGCAAGGTAATTCAAAGTTCTTTACAAGACCAAAGAAACAGAAAGATTTTATTTTAAAAATGAACTGATTAAATAAAATGCTTCTCCTGCCCTCCATGGTTAGTTCAGACGAACTAAGCTGTATAGATCACATGTGTCAAACTGGAGGCCCGGGGGCCAAATGTGACCCTCGTAGCTTTTCAGGTGGCCCTCTAGACTCCAAAATACAACAATAAGTCACCAGTTTTTCACAAATCCACAAAATTCACACAAAATCAATAGATCCCACTTTTATTATTTTTATTTTACTGCTAATTTTTCTCAAAATTAATCCAAAACATCGTGTGACTTGATGTCAAGTTACAGTCCGTGATCGATACGGCGATTAATAAAACATCACATTTAACATCATACATGATTGGAAATCTTATGAAAATTCCTTGCAAATATTTCTAACTGTGACTTTGATTACAAAAAGTCACAAAAACAATCACAAAATCCTGGAGGAACTGCTATTTATTAATATTTTAACTGCAATGGATTTTATCAAAACATTCTGGCAGATTCAGATTTTTGATAAAATGAAACTGAGTTTGACAGGACTGGTATAGACAATAGATGGTTCATTAATCGGAAGCCACTCTGAAGTGTATGAAGGGGTCCTATTGTGCAAAATTCACATTTTACACATTTGTGTTCTTCCATTTGGGTCTCACATGCTTCTAAAAACAGATCAAACTCACAAAAAAAAAAAACACCCAGTTGTTTATTAGTAATACGTTTATGTTTTTTGGTGTCTGGAAAATGAGCCTTTTCAAAAACCTCCCAAATGTAACATTATCAGCAGACACTGACCGACTGTTACCTAGCAACACTTGACTGTTACCTAGCAACCCTTGACTGTTACCTAGCAACCTGGCCCGTTCCCTAGCAACCCCGGGCCATTACCTAGCAACCCCAGCAGAGCTGAAGCCCCTTTGGGACAGGGGTTCTCTTTCTCTCTGCTCTGAGTCACACCAACCTGTTCCCCTCCTGGCCTGTGGGGGCGCTGCACCAAAAACCACTGAAGACACTGAGAGCAACTTCCTTCTTCACCAGATGGAAACAAGATGGAGGCGTCAGATTTTAGCGGTTGGAGGATTTCTCTTTAGTCTTTGGCAAAAGCGCTAGGCTAGCATGTTAATTCTGTTGTATTTACCCAGAATGCCCTGCACTATTGTTTGCTTCCTGCTTTAGAGTGATATCCAGTCCACTTGGCATTCACATATGCGTTCAAATTGCACCAGAGTTCACTTCAACCAAACCCAGACTGAGGTTTGTAGGCAGATCAAAATTCAATTAGCATTCACACCTCAAACGAACCGGACTTTCAAGACAAGCACATTAGAGTTACATTAACTATTTTTTAAAATTCAAATTTAAAAATACTTTATTAAAAGGGAAATTAAATGTTGTTGTAGCCCATCAAGATTCTTCAAAGAGCCATTAAAGATGGCGATGGCT